TGGTAAAACTCAAGCGCCAGCGCCCGTACAACACACTCTGGCTCAAGTACCCCAACTGCTTGATCCTCGAATTTTCAGCTCCAACTCCGTAGCGCTTCAAGCACCCTATTTATTCAACACCCAAAACCACTGTGCTCCAATTCCAAGTAGGACGTACCTGCTCTGGCAATCGGATTCGGGATGAGCCCTCGGGCAACATTAGTATTGATAGCGATATAAGTTATTAATATACCTCCCCTTTGACAGTGAGCTACAGATGCTGAATTAAAAACCGTCACGCAACACCTGAAACGAAGGGATACCCGGATGAAGAGGACCCGCGGTTCGGTTAAATAACCGGATCGTGAGGGACACTGTAAACACAACCAACACCCCCCCCCCCGAGTGAGCCCAATCAGCCGGATAACGCGAGAAGGCAATATTACGTTAGGAATAATATCCGGTTAAAATTCTAATAAACCTCCATTGACAATGAGCTACAGATGCCTTCCTTGTGAACTTCGTGGAAATCTTTCTTAGTATTTGACTTCTTGAATTTTGTATCGACATAAAAAATATATTATTGAAAGCCATACGGTGTATGGTATGATGCCATATGTCCTCGCATATGTTTTCGGACATTACAGCATTGTTATAGTATACTTTAATGAAGTTTAAATTAAGCCTAATATTTGTATACTATACGAATATCAAATATAATCTCGGGCCGAATAACTGCTTTGGGATTTTTTGGCGGATCTTTCTCGAGCTACCCTGAGCGAAAAAAGGCAGGGTAGTTATTGTTACCTATACGGTACGTTGATAGTCCGGTGATAAATACTTCGAAGTAGTAGATTTGTTGCTTGGATGAGGTATGAGGCTAGTAATATACAGTAATTGTAGAGTATTCTCTATTGTCGAAAAATACAATATATACTCTAAAGTACTAATAGTAGCGGTAGACGCGATCATCAAGCCTAACGCGTTGTTCTACGTGATTGTAGCCCCCATGGGCCAGATCAAATCTGTCGATGACGTGCTCCAGCTTCGTGGACTTCGCCGCTCCCCCGAGTGTTCAATGTGGTTCCCCGGACGTATTTACTGAGTTCCAGATTCAACACAATCCAATGCCAGAGATGCTACTGAATGGGCGAGAGATGGAGCTATTTGCACTGGAAGTCAAAGTGACCCCAACGACGGTGGTGGTGTGGTCATGCTTCTCATTTCACAATGAGTTCAACTTTGTAGTATCGGACAGGAATCACAGTAAGAATATTTAGGTAAAGTAAAATGACGTCTCGACGATTTCAGGAGTTCGTCGAATCTACAGGAGGCTGCGGGAAATGACGAATATAGCCATCGTTGGCGACATGAGCGATGATAAACGTATGTCTAGACGAAGGAGTCGAATTTTGATGCAAGGCTACTTTGCATTCGATTCTGCTGTTCAAAACGTATACGTGTGGACTTTAAATTTTGGCCGCCAGTTTTACGATGCTTTTTGGAAAAGTATCCACTACATTCCACGAGAATATCGTTACGTATTTTTAATATAAAATAAGTATGTCATAATTTAAAAAGATACATATAGCATCAAGTTAACGTAAGTCAACAGCAATGTTTGTCATAATTTATGACAATGTTAACTATCGAGAAAGTACATGACTTTGTCGTTGAGTTGCTCAGCAACGGCTTGCCTAGGCGTGATACATGTAATATGAAAACTGAAGAGATGGCTGCAGGCTATAAAACGAGACGTGATGTGTGGCGATTGCACTTATTTAGCATGCGTGAAGTGACCTCAGGCATGCCAAAAAACTGAAATATAGCTTTCTTTGGGTGTGATTATATCCCGCAATAAGCATCGTAACACCGTCCATGCCGCTTTATTACGTAGTATCAATGCTGCTGTACATGCTACCATGTTCTTGCGTTGATCGGTGATCTCTGAGCCACGAAGCAGCACATTATTTTAGACGCATTTTGGCGAAAACTTCAAATATAGCGTGAAAGATGACAAACAATTATTGTCATCTTGAGCTATAATATATACTATTAATAGTAGCATACATTGATCTTATGTTATTATTTTCTAACATTTAAATGTCAAATTTTTAAAAGTTATGCAACCGTTTTGTGTGGAGCCAAGCAACTCAGCGCAATCGATTGAGGACGATGCCAATCCTTCAAAATGGCAATTAAAAGTAGTGCACGTTGCTTTCTTCCCCAGGCTGAACTCGATTTGATTCTAGTGCGTTGTATGGCGATGATGAACAACGTACTGCCATATCCTTTGAGGATTGTAAAGTTGATCATTTCCCGCAGCGTCCAGTACCGAAAATACCAAATTTAGCTTGAATGCACAATATGGTTGGAGCATTGCTTTTTAGAGCATATCTCCAACACTATTGCTAAAGCATACAGTAGGTTAAAGTTAAACTTCGTTTATACGGTTGCTATTTTGGCACTAACGGTATCCGGACATTTTAGAAATTACGTCCCGCATTGCTTCAGTAGTAAAGAAGTTACAATTACCTGTCTGATGTATCGTCCCAAAAGGCCCCAACACAAATAGTCAGTATGGTGCACGTCATCTACTACCTCTGTCCGGAAGTAAATGCCTCAAGCAGAATATTTGGGAAATGAACATGATAATGGTCAAATTATTTGAATCTGAAAGTACATATGTAATCCGCTCAAGAAGGAGCTAACCAATCAAAGTGATTCACACCAAACTTCACCCAATCATGAAGACTAAGCACGTTTAAAGGATCAATACTTTACTCCATATGTAATGGACATATCCGGATATCCGGATATCATTGCGTATTGCAGACTTGTCCGTAGAAATGGACCAACAACCACATCAAATTCAAAATGGGCGCGAAGAGAAACCTCACGAACGATGACCGTGCCGCAGTCCTGCAGCACCTCCTTGCACGACTGCTTGACCACAAGCGCCTCCCCCGTGGAGCTTTCGTTGACGTTGCTGCTCATTTTGGGGTCGATCGGAGCACGGTACGCCGGATCTGGAAGCGTGCTGGTGTTGACCTTACCAACGCTACGCGCCCATGCAACAGCGTTGCGTCACGAAAGAAGGGTCACTGTGGACGGAACTTGAAACACAATGACGTTGCGGCCCTGCTCCAACAAGTACCCAAGGCTCGTCGCACGACTTTCCGATCCATCGCCGCTGCCATGGACATGCCCCGATCAACCCTGCACGAGTACTACCGCCGCGGCATCTTCGTCAAATACACTAGCCACATCAAGCC